CGTACAAATGATGTGCGTAAGGTGCGATGACGTCTGAAGATTCATAAATTATGGGCAAGATGATCATTGATTCGGAGCCCCTTGACATGCAGCGAGGAAATCGGAGCCTGTAATGGTGTGCTCAAGACCTCAAAGGAATGACGTCCTCTTTTCGGATAAATCTTACCTTTGCTTTCATCATCACATAACCGTGTTCATAAAGGGCTGGCCAAGAAAAATGAATATTGAAAGTTTGCTGTCATTCTCATCATGCCAATCCAGCATCTAGATAGATGGCGCCCGCGGTTGTGTCATATCTTCAGGTCCTCTGTCTCAGCAGGAAGTCCTCTGTCTCAGACAGTGTCTCAGACACCAAGTCCGGCAGCTAAACTTCGATGACTACATAGTGTCCAAGATAACATATCAGTAGAAAAGAACAAAAATTCTTCCATCGCGAATTCTTACTAGAACTTTAAACATACTTTAAGATTTCACTCTGTTGAATTATTCAAAATCTCTTGCAAATGGGAAATTAGTTTTCTATAAAGCAGTTAACGTTTACACTTCATCAGATTTCAAGTAATGATTTTAATTCAAATCCTCATTCATCAAAACTGACAAATGTTAGCATAGACAATTAGAGGTATTCGGAGGAATACCTCTAATTGTCTATGCTATTCTTTGTTTGTTTAATATACAAGATGTTCGATTTTTTGTTATTATCGGCTCGTTCGTCACATCCGTCACCAAATAGAAATGACTCTTCAGTGGTTGCACAGAGATGTAACGAAAACACCCACCAGTTATTACGACAGATGATCGACCATCTGACGATACAGAACTGAAGCCGCATGGACTTCAAGTTCACATAATTATTATCCAAAGCCTGTTCGATTCCGTGTAACCGCTGCTATTTTTGCCAGAGGTCGATTCTCGAGATACTAATTTTTTGCGTGTTCTGTACCTTAAAATACCTGAAATTTTAATCAATTCATTCTTATACTTTGTTTTTAATATAATATGACTCTACTGCATGGTTTTCTTAAGGTCTAGCAGTTTCAAAAATGTATCATGTCGATATTAAATGGTTGTTTTCAGAATCATATTGTTTAAAACTTATTTTTCTTTACCTTTAATTTGTTCCGATGATGATGCTTTGAGGTGCTAAAATACAAGATTTACTGTATATTCTGCCAGCTACGAATTTAATTAATAACTCCATTTGATGTAAATTTAAAACACCATTTCGCAAGAATGCATTTCTTTTCTTGACGTTGTATTTGAAATATTTTAAATTTTATATCAGGAAAGATTCAAATCTAACAGCTGGGAGTTTACATATATTAGTCGAAAGACTGCATGGATCTATCAGCTATTTGCCAAGGTGCACCAAGAGAAGTAGACCGATAATATCACATACTAAAAAAAATAGAAGATATAAACACAGCACCAAGATTTACTCAATAATTAAAGCTTTACCATCAACACCAAGTCCGGCAGCTAAACTTCGATGACTACATAGTGTCCAAGATAACATATCAGTAGAAAAGAACAAAAATTCTTCCATCGCGAATTCTTACTAGAACTTTAAACATACTTTTAAGATTTCACTCTGTTGAATTATTCGAAATCTCTTGCAAATGGGAAATTAGTTTTCTATAAAGCAGTTAACGTTTACACTTCATCAGATTTCAAGTAATGATTTTAATTCAAATCCTCATTCATCAAAACTGACAAATGTTGTTTAGAAACTTTAAATTGTAATATGTTAAATGTTAAAGATGGATGACTTTTATTAATGCGTTCATTGTTGTTTGCACGCATGAAATATCATGGAAATACTTTGTAAAGTTGCGCGCCTCCAACCTGCACGCAACAAAGTGGTGACTGCTGAAACTGGAAATTAGACAGAGTCTTGAGAAGGGTTTAAGTCCCTTTTTATTCAACTTTAGAAATTACAAATGCGTACTCTTGACGCTCACAAACTACGCCGACCCGGCGGTAAAATAAAAATAAGAACCTGAAAAGAAATAATAACAAGAGACTAACTACGAGGCTCTCTAAACGTAACTACCACACCGCGTTCTAAAATACCGCTGATAATTCAGCAAACTCTGAATACCACGTTGAAAGATTAACAATTTGCCGAGGCAAGCCCACAGGCCGAAACGCGTGGTTCTTCAATTTCTAAATAGCCACCTCCGCGCTCGTGAAGTAAGAAAGCACACCTTCGAACTCGTTTCCTTTCTATTTAACTCAGAATACTTCCGCTGATAATTTGAATCCTTGCGCGTTCTACTAAAATTTACATACTCTGGCATTGGCAGTTCCAGGGGAAAGTAAGGCTTGACAGGAAAGGTAGTTTAAACTTAAAATAAATGTTAGTTAAAATAAATATAAACCCTACAACTTTATGAATGGAAAACCCTAAAGCGGAAGATTTTCGTTAATAAAAATATTAAAAGTATAGAATATGCTCAATATAACTTTCCTAATGCTCAGAGAGTTAGTTTAATTATTATAGCTGTTTTCAAATGTTTCCATGAATCTACTCATTTTAAGCGATTGAAAATGTAATGCATGCTTAAGACAGGTGTTGTTATAAAAATTTTTATTTTAAACTATACTTCTATAAATAAAAATTTAAAATAAAACCCTGAAAGGTTTCAGATTTAAAATTACGTCTAAAAAGGCGTTTTTCCAACATTTTCTGTGTTACCTTTATTTATTAAATATCATGTTCTTCTAGATTAAACCATAAAATTCAGTTCAAGAGCAATATCGCAAAATAATTTTAAATTGAGCACATCTTTGGAATTTCCGATACACAGTCTCAGGCGTTGGAGATAAAAATATTTTTTGCTGTACAACGTTGCTGTTGCTCGCTTTGAAATCCTTGAGTTTTTTAATCCAAAATTCTTTAAAGTTTCACAAAATTATGAAATAGCTTTAATAAAACGAATTTCCAAATCTTGGGCTTCCAGATGGCCCATATTGGCAGGTAGGATTACGTTCATTCAAAATTTCGATGGCTCTTAGGTACCGTTGCTTTATCACAAGTGAGAGAAACATACATACAGTTATGCAGATTCTTCATTATTTAATTTCTTCAAATATAATACAGGGCGATAATATTTGATGGCAACTGTTTGGAAAGTGAAACGGACATTAAGAGTGATGTGACTCAAAATCGCAAAGCAAAAATAATAGTTCCTCAAGGGCAACGTCCCCTTGGCCTAAAAATATCTTTAATGGGATTATATACGTAGTCAAAGTATTCGGAGTTTCTGTTTCGGGGGCAAGGAGAAATGTTTTTAGGGAAAGTTATCTCCTTGTATTAGTTATTAGCAAACATTGCATTATGATCTGATTTTGTATTCTTTGAGCAGGCTACCTTTGTAAAGATTAAAATATTTTAAAGCCCAAAATACGTTACTACAGAAACGCATTTTATAACGTTTATAACGTCAGAATATATTTCATGTAAAATAAAATTCCAAAGTTTCAATAATGTTTTAGTCTCTATAGCCTTCTATTTCGTAATTTGTAAATTCTCGAAACAACCTCAACATATATCAAATAACAGAACCATGGTTTGAAATTGTTATGCAACTGTTGTATTGGTGATTGTTTAATCTTTAAACATCTTTTGAATGCCTGTCTTTACGAAAGAAAAGTAGAATAATCTGCCAATTTCAGAAATAGAATGTCTTCTGAAGTATTTTTTCATAGAACGATTTAATGCATTCTCTTTTACGAACTGCACCATAAATCAGAATTATTTTTTGTATTTATTTAAAATGCAATATTAGGAATGCAGAAGTCGTGCTAGTTTTTTAAAAATAAAATTGTTGAATATTATTCTCTTATAATACAGAAACTTAAGAACAAACATCTTGATCTGTATAAAATTCACAAAGAAGCGATCTGCTTGGTGTAACGTAATTGTTGGTATTTACGTTGGCTGTCCACTAAATTTTAATACATAATTATTACTCTCTGTTGCTGTTGTGGCCTACATGCGTTTGAATGCGTCCTATGGATGTACTTCTTCAGCGAACAACTTTTATTTGATTTGGCTTGTCTTGGAAGACCCATACTATCGACTGCTGTTTTTTTTCAGGCTCATATAGAAGATCCATGATTTGTCACCTATATATATGTTATACACAGCCTCTGATAGAACTTGAACATATTTTCCCAGCATTTCCTTGCACCAATCGACACAAGCCTTCTTTTGACCGTTTGTCAGATTATGAGAGATCTAACGAGAACAAATCATTTTAACGACCAAATATTCATGTAATACCTTATTGATGCTTGTCATACCAATGCCCCAAGATGCCTCAGTATTACGATATGTCACATGACGATCTTGCTTTATCAGTTCACCCACAGCATTTGTCTTGCACAACAACCGATTTTGCACGACCTTCACGGAATTCGTCCTGGAGCAAACATCGACCACGATTGAATTCGATATGCTAGTTTTTCACAGTGCTGTAGAATGGTGCTTTATCGCTGTATAAAGAATTAAGTTCATCAAAGCACTCTTGTCTTGATACTCAACGTCAAATATTGTGAGAAATAGTCGCATGAAAATGTTCACGAGTCAATTCCATTTTTTACGCGAGATGAATTTTTCAGTTTACTGTAAACAACATAAACCACGTTAAAATGACAAAACGTTCTGAAAACGTTATGGTTAAAAATATCAAAATTTCGATTGGAATCGTCTACGGTCGCCCAGAAACACTTACTGTTGCCAAGGCTAGAAATATAAATAGCAGACTTCGTTATATGTATACAAATGCATTTATATAAATAAAGGAAAGATTTAGTCCTTAACAAATATTTGTTAAAGATTTTGATATGTTTAAAAAGAGTCATAGGATATTAGATAAGAGAATTTTTTAAACGATTTTAGGGCTATAGGTTTTAAGAATATTTCATACAACAGGCATATGCACATACATGACTTGTACATATACTACTAATAATTAATACAAAAGAATACTTACAAGTACTTTTTGTTCTCATAAACATCGTATAAAGCTAAAACATGTGGATGCTCAATTAGTTTCATGATGGCGATTTCTCTTTCGACCTGAAACATAAGAAAAATAATATGAGCAGAAAATATTGTTTCAGAGCAAATTATAATTACTTCAGTTCAAAATAAAGCGTGAGTTTGCAATTATGCGAATGAGTATTTTATTATCATAGTAAGATATTTATAAGTATGTGGCACTGATCATACAAAGATTGTGTTACGAGTTTTGTATATAGATAGATGATTTTAGTGTAGTTATATGTGAAATTTCCCCCCCCCTATGTATTGTAACGTGAAACAAATTTTAAGAGAAAGCTATGCCAGAAAAGTAAGAATACAGGGGCAAGTGCTTTTTAACATTGAGTAAATGTTATCTCGGTAATTTGGCGACTTATAGTGTCTTCAAATTTGGCAAGAAATCGCTAAAAGGTCGTCATATTTGGCGAGTTGTAGTTCCGAGTAGCAGAAAGTACTAGAAATATCTCGGCGGCCGGTTGAAAACTATAAAAGGTAGGAGAGAGAGCATCTGAGTTCAGTTGCTTAGTTATTAATGTTGCGAGTTGTAGTTCCGCGTGAACTGAAATAAATCCGAGTTAGCTTTTTTTAGATGCCCTTTGAATTGCGTTCTGTTTAACGTTTTTAATAGTTTGAAGTGTAACTACCGATTATACTTTGGGATACTGTGAACAGCAGTACGAATATTTCTGTGAAAAATTCTAAATATTTTTTTTGATAAAAATAAATTTTATTAATCTATTATCAGATTTGTGCAATCAATCTATTATGAACCCCTACGCACGTAACAATTGTATATGTATACTGAGTATATATCTGTATAGACTTTCTGAAATACAGGATAACTACGTTTGATATGAAAATAACCGATGTATCAAGTTACAAGTAACTAGAACGAGCTTTAAATGTTGAATTTCTGCATCTAACATTTGACTTTTTTTTCCTACATTTAAATTACACAATTTCATTCCTTCTTCCAATAGCATAAGCAATAAAAACATAGTTCTTTAATGAAGTGCAATAAACATAGATTAAATAATATAAGTCTATGGGAAATTTAACATTAACAACTCTATGTTTTACATTTCATTTACTAAATATGCTCAGTGTTAGCTATTGTGGGAAGGAAGCAAAAATATTTCAATCTTGATTTACAAGCATTTCATGCACTTTTAATTACAGAGAAAGATATTCTGAAAACAAAAATGTGCATAAATGTTTATATTATTCGTTTATAAATTAATTTATTTATACCTTCGTGAATTCTCGTTTATGTCTTTAACTGAGATTAGCAAAGTGCGGAAGGACTACGTTCTTGGTAAGAGGAATGTCGTTGTAAAGTTCATTTTAAGGTAAACTAACTTGGATTTCGTCACATGTGGAAACATGCACGAAAATAAATACACTGCTGGCTGCTCGCTGGGATTTGAATGAGGATCGGACTACCAGAATTTCGGCGGTCTAATTGGCACCTATATGAGTTCGATACTTATTTTATTTAAAAATAACGAATAAAAATCAATTCTTAAATTTAAAGACATGAAAGGATCAAACGTTACCCCATAATACGTAATTAAACACAACGCTCATTGTAATAAAACATATTTACGGAAAAAAAACCTCCATTTAGAAAACAGAATTTTAAATTTAGTTTCAAGCGATTTTTATTCGTAGTCTTTAAGAAATTATTAACTTATTTAAACCAGTTGTCAACATTTGAAATTTAAGTGTGACCGTAACTTAAATTTCATTTAACCTCCATTTAAAAAAAACCTCCATTTAGAAAACAGAATTTTAAATTTAGTTTCAAGCGATTTTTATTCGTAGTCTTTAAGAAATTATTAACTTATTTAAACAAGTTGTCAACATTTGAAATTTAAGTGTGACCGTAACTAAAATCACAGGCATGTATTTCTTAACAATGATGCACATTCTATAAAAGTTGCCGAAAACACCGATATCATTTTCTCAAAAAATTTAAACAAGGACTTGCAAAAATATTGCAAGATTAAAATAACGGTTGAAGGTAGATCACAGATCCACAGTTCCATTTCAAGAAGTAAATCAACTAAGTTAGGTTCCCTGTAATAATTTTGGTAAAATTACAAGTTTTCGTAAAAATGTAAAAAATCAATTTTAATACAAATCCACAGAAGATATAGAAAACTGTGTACTGTATGCAGGCTATGCAAAAATCCACTGTGCTATAATTTTAGATGCAGATTTTTGAGCTGTATTGTATGGAGGAAAAAAGTGGATATATCCGCATCACGCTAACCAGCGGGTTCTCTGATCTAAGTACAACTAGATCATCAGTCCCGATAGCGGTCGGAAAAGCCATCTCCCAAAACAGCAGCTTCTCAAAACACGCAAGCCTCACATCAAACAATCTCAGAATAAGACGCCGTGACTGGAACATTATACACAGATCACCGCACTATCATTGAACATCGTGGCTGTAAGACTTCTGTTGACCTAATCATGTACCTTGTTTTCATCATTCACTAAATTACACTCTCAAACAGAGTTTCGTTTCTCTTATCACGTCATAAACAGGAATTATTTCAGTTGATAATTGCACCAAATGCTAGTTATTAGTCTGTTCTTAAATATAAGTATCGAAAACGAAATACCAGTTTGGCCAATTCATTTCATATCGTAAATTAAACTCTTTTATATCGAACTCCTGATATCTGTATTCTCCGTAGTTTTTTCTTCTTTCATATTTTGCTTACCGAGTCGAGGCTTCTTTAGACTACCAATCCCGCACTCATCAATGCAACTTCTATTCTTACTATTCTTTTCTTTTTCTCTCCGTTTCCTTCCATTTTTAGTCCTCTTTAACGTCTTCTCTCTGTTTGATATATATTTCTTATTTAACTCATTGCCTTACTTGTTAATTAAAACGACTTATTAGGCAATAATGTTTCCCATGATCTTACATTGGTTGAAGAGTATGTCACATCACTTTTTCAAACCAATTGCAATAACGCAGCAATTTATTATTATACATCGTACTTTCTCTCTTTGCCACCAGACGAGAGAGAGATTAACTTATTTTTAACTCCTCTACAGCAGGAATCTACCGAATTTTGAACCTTCTACAATGAATTTGCTTTCTATGCATTTTAATTTTCTATAGGTTTAGATATCTCCTCAATCATGCTCAAAAGGATATTTTTTTTCAAACAACATCCATTCATTTTCACTGAACCTCCATGGTTCTGAAACTATTAGATCATTAGACCGACGGTATCATTATAACGAAGGAAGTATTTTTCTCTTATCATGTTATGAAGAACAGCAAGCGAAAAGGATTTTTTTATTTCGATATTTCTGCTTCTCTGTTTCCAGCCTCTGTCATAACAAAATAGTCTCTTACTTTTCATGACATAAAATGAACAGTTAGTATAATACCTGAAGTCAGATTGCTACATAATAACGTCAGCTTTCATGTCAAAGAAATGTGAATCTATAAAACTGTATGTTTCCATTTGCAGATATTGCAGATTTGTTTTTTTGACGTTCTTATTGATCAGATGAAAGTGATGTAAATCCTAGAACTGTGGGCATTTTTCAATTCACTTTTCGTATTACAGAAACAAATTTTAAAAAGACCTGCAGTGAATAATGAACACGAATTAGGAATTTATTTTCAGAATTTATTTAAATGATTTTTTTAAATTAAATTTTGTCACGTGATCACAGTTGCGTAGTCTGAAAGCTATCTTACTTGAATTATTTAATAAATTTTTAACACATATCTGTTTTAAGAGATATTTAGTGGCGAAATCTTCCTGAAAAGTTACTTGCATTTGAAGACAATGTTTTAGTAATGCAAGGCCTTTTTTAGATTGAGTTAGAGGACTTCCGCTTTTGAGTTACAGAACTTCATGATAAGTAAATCAAGAAAGTTTTATTAGCTTGACATGCTAGGGAGAAAGCTGTTAAAAAGGAAATGGATATTGTTACAATAATATGCTTTTGTGGTATATATAATAAAATAATACTACTCCTACATTAAAAGTTCATTTTTCTTGGAATGCTTGTTTTTCTTTCCAATTTTCAGATGTGGTTGCTTTAAAATAACAGAAATAAGCTCAAATTTTGTGAAACCTGATATATAATTTTACTTCGTAAATTATACTTCAGAACTTTCTTTTGAATTATTTTAAAATTTTTAAAATTAGTTACACAAAAGAATTATTCTGTTAGAAACTCATTTCCATATTTCAGTAAATATTATTTAAAAGTTAATGTACTCAAATCTAGCATCAAATATTATCACATTATTTATGCCAAGAACGTAGGGATAATCGTCTTATTTTAATGAATTACATAGTTACGCCATCTTCATTAAGCTTTATTCCTTCCTCATTAAGTCTAATTCTCATAAACTACCTCGAGCTATTTCTCAAAATGAGATATAGTGGATATCCTTAAATTACCTAGTCTTCTAAATTATGTTCTCTTTCCGTGTACAAGTCACATTTACTTACATATATTTATATGAATAAATATTATATGAATAAATATACAGGAAATTATTACATAAACTTCACCAGATTAGATGCAAATTTTAAAACTGGAATGGCATTTCATTTGCCAAGTAAGAACAAAACCTTTTGACTACTACAGATTTTTAACGAAAGCCATTAATAGTTGAGGGAAATTATGAAGCAGATGTGTTTAAATGCAGCATCATACAATTATGTAAACATAAATCTGTATAAAAATTTATAAGATAACTTATAAAAATGTTTTTGCCAAGAATTTTACTAGGATTATAAAAGAATATGTTTATCATTAAAATGCAAATGTATGACTCTCACAAGAGAGCAATTATAGGGTTAAAATTCTGCCAAGTTTGTCGCTATACATAACAGGTAACGTTGAAGTACGGCTTAAATTCCGCACTGATTTCTTGAAGGATAAATATATTTCCTCAATTTTATTATATCGCTGATTATAAAATGCAACCCTGAACTTTAGTACCGTTCTCAGTGGAAAGATAAAAATATAAAAAAAACAAAACAAAA